AAAAGTATCATATCATATTTTTCATACACAGTATCATATATAGTATGATATTATCAAATTTTCCATATTGTATCATAATATGATACAATAGTATCATATTTTTCATATTGTGTCATAATATGATACAATAGTATCATATTATGATACAATAATACCATATGTTCATGAAATATAAAATGCATATAGCCTGAGTATCAGTAGGAGTGAAAAATAAATATCAGATATAAACGTAATTTTTTACCCCCATAAAAAATTTTTAGCCATTGTTTTAAAAAATAGTTAAACAATACTCTAAATTTTTAGCGTATCTGTAAATCTCAGTTTCCTTAGTCCAAACAAAATATTTTTCTATCCTTTTTTTTTGCTGGAACTAAATTTAAAATAATATCATATAAATTAAATTTATTTATTAGTTTTATAAAAAAATTTATTTTTAAACTTTTGAATTTTTGAATCCCAAATAAATTTTCGAAAACATTCAGTATCGTTTTTGTTGAAAAAAAACGTTATTTAATCTATTTGAAATAGTTTAAGTTCGAAAAATTCTACCTACTATGTAATCCCTAAGTTATAAAACTATAAAATGTGTAATTTTTGTTTACTTTTCTTACATGTTTTGGTGAAAAGTACGCTTAGTAGTTTTCTTTTTTTCAAAAATTAAAATTTTTTTTACGTTCTTTGATGTCTATGTCTTCGATATTTCGATACTCAAAATTTATACATTTTTCTTTTTTTAAACTTTTTTAGTAACGTTTCTTATTATTTCATCTTAGACCGAACTTTTATTTCTTTAAACTTTACAAATTTACAATGAGAAAAGAATATCTTTTCATAATTTTTTAGTTTCATATGATAATGCAAAATGGACCTTTGGGAGAAAAAAAAAACGAATAAATTCTTTTTTTATTTTTTACTGTTCATGATCTTAATAATATACAATAAACGCCACACACCCAAACATATAAAAGCACACATCAAAAAGCGGAAAAATAACAGTAATTAGAATTCTATATATGTTATTATTACTCACAATTCACATTACTCACATTCGGGAACATTGACGAAAAATTAACATTTTGCTTACTGCAATTTAGAAATTCTGCAAAATAAATATGGAAGAATTACTATTGAAAAAAATTCCCCAGCACCATTATTTTTGTTAAAAGAAACAGGACTCATTTTCCTCCAAATCAATAACAGAACAAAATTTCAATCAGATTTATAAGGATTGTCAATTATATACCCACAAGTGACGTCATTGTAGGTAAATCGTGTCATTTGTCGATTCAGAAACCAATCAGGTTCGAACACGCGCGTGACGTCGCTTATAGGCGTCCAATTAAACCTGATTTAAATCGCGTGGTTAGGCCTAATCACTTTTCTTCTTTTCGTGTTTCAAGCATTCAATTGTAAATAACAGTATTAAATTTCAAAAGGTAATAAAATACAATTAAAACTAGTGAATTTTAAAATCTAAACTCCAAAGGGTCGTAAAACACAAATAAAAGTACTAAAGTTTTACATCATAACAAATTACTAGTAAAAGTGTGTATATTTTGTACTTGTAGCATTACTGTCTTTAAAAAACATTAACAGTTAAAATTAACTACAACCGTTACACGTTTAATGTTGACTGATATTCTCATCAGATGGAGCTTTTTTCATTAATGCCATATTTGCATATCCCCTAAACAACCAGCAGTCACTAACATTGCATTTTAAGGATAAGGTCAAGTTTTCGAAAATTCTTTTTCGTGTCTGTTTATAAAACGGAGAAAGAATATGAAAAGGAGGTTCTTTAGTTTGGCGACCAGGGTGGTCTAAAATAACTAAACTGGTAGAGAGAGATTATTGGCTTGGGATCTCTTTTGGGTTTCTTTCGGCTTTGTTGCATATCCCGGATTTGGATCATTACTGGTAAAATATATATTTCTAAGCGAAAAGCAAATAAAACTTAAAAATCGTAAGAATTCAATTATTTTCAAATTATTATTTTATTTGCATGGGGAAAATATATGTATGAGGTCTTTATTACAGTATAGCTGCTTCGGGTAAACAAATTGATTGAGCTCGATTCAAAACTTCCCCTTTCGTGCAAATTTCTTTGAATCTTATATAGGGTTATTTTGATTTCAAAAATATATAATTTTCTATGATCAAACGCGGCGTACTTTCAATTCAAAATTGGTGAAATTGAAATTAAAGAGCGGAGAAGTTTACAGTTGACTGAATTTTCAAAACGTAAATAAATAAATAAAATAAATCATAAAATTAACTCACATTTATCACAATAATAAAATAAACTCAAGCATAATATTTTTTTTCCTTTTTAAAAATCGTATAAACTTAATGAGTATAGATGATTTCCGAAAAATTTAGAAATCTGTACAATAAAAAAGAAACATAATTTTCTTTTGCTTTTATAACCTAATTTACTTTAATTGAATTAATAAATAATTCTTTATGTTTTTTATATCTTGCGTAAGAATTATTTAAAAACAGCGTCAAATTGTTTAATTAAAAAATAAAATGAAAATTTGAATAACATATTCATATCCAAAGAGTACTGTCCAGGAGATAAATTATATACGAAATAATATACTGTATACGAAATAGCGTATTATGTACGACATAATATATTATATACTAAATGTATTATGTACAAAATAATATATTATATACTAAATAATGTATTTTGTTCGAAATAATATATTATATACTAAATAATGTATTATGTACGAAATAATACATTATATACTAAATAATGTATTATATACGATATAATATATTATATACGAAGTAATATATTTTATACGAAATAACATATTACATACGAAATGATATATTATATATGAAATAATATCTTATATACAAAATAATGTACTAATAATATATAAAAAATAATATATAAAAAATAATATATAATAAAATTATGTATACAGAGTAAAATGACATACTGCAATAATATATTATATATAAAATAAAGTATATTATATACGAAATAATATATTATATACGAATACTTTCTTGAAATTTACAGAAAAGAATTTAAGAAAAATGAAATATGTACTTAAGGCAATATATTTATTCATTATTATACTTAAGACAGTATATTTATTCATAAATACAATATTAATACAGATACTTACTCTCTATTAAGAGTAAGAAAAATCACAATTGCATTAAAAACACAAGAAATTTCATACTTTATGAACTGTCAATTTCAAATTTTTTCCAGTCGTAAGTTTTATACTTTTACCTTCATCCTAACATCACATAGATAATATTAATATTTCATCATACAAGTTATAAATTTAATCTAAATAGGCATTGGAGATTGTAGGGATTTTTTTATAGATATAGTACAGAAATATTTGGGAGTCTAAGCACTCTAAAAGTTATTCCCGTTAAGGTATATAAGTCGACGCATGTGTTTTACTGTTAAAACTTTTGGCTTGATATTAATTTAATTTTTTGCATGATATTGAACAGCAATATAATGCAAATTTTCTGCAACCTCAATTCAGTGCTAAGTTGAAACATTTTATCGCACAAATTTACTGCAACCCCGATGCGGTACTATGTTGAGCGATTTTATCACGCAAATTGTACTGCAACCTTAATACAGTGTTAAGTTGAATCCTTTTTATCTTTCAAACATGTTGCATAAATAAATTTACCGAATTTTCCTGCATTCTATAGTATTATGCAATTACGGTGATTTTGCACTATTTTATCAAATTAACCATTTTTTTAACTTCGATTGCGCACTACTATAATTTAACTTGAAGGAAAGCAATGTTTAGTTCAATGCACTGTTAAAAGAGCGCTGAACAGAGGAAAAACCTTTTACAATCAATTATGTTTCGCTCAAATTAGCGAGTTAAGGTTTCAAGTGTAGAAAAATGTGAATTCAGATAAACTAAAACTAAACCGTCAAGCTTCAAATGCCGAAATTTTTCTTGCCATAATTTTTTTACATTTTGGAGAAACAAATCAGTGTGTGAAGCTACATGGTTTACTTTTAGTTTTAATGAATTTTTCTATCGTGCAAATTGTACTGCAACCTTAATACGGTGGTGCTAAGTTGAACCATTTTATCGTGCAAATCGAACTGTAACCATAAAACGGTTCTAAAATGGTACCATTTTATCGTGCAAATCGAACTGAAACCATAAAATGGTGCTAAGATAATAACATTTTATCGTGCAAATCAAATTGAAACTATAAAATGGTGCTAAAATGGTACCTTTTTATAGTGCAAATCGAACGGCAACCTTAAAACGATGCTAGGATGGTACCATTCTATCGTGCAAATCGAACTGCAACCTTAAAACGGTGCTAAGTTGAACCATTTTATCGTGCAAATCGAACTGAAATAGTAAAACGGTGCTAAGATACCATTTTATCGTGCAAATCGTACTGTGACCTTAATACTGTGCTCGGTAGAATCCTTTCATCTTATCTATCCGTAAACTTTAATTTACGAATTGAGTTGAAACAAAATTTATTAAGGAAGATTTTAGTACAGTATAGCGTCGTCTAAAGGATGCAGAATTTCTATTTTCTGATATTAAGTTTCAAAGCAACGATATTATGGTTCAACAAGAACTAATTTTTCTGAAAGTGTACTGTGTAATATACATTCAAATGCAAAAAAAAAGTCTATTTAAAAAAAATATATTACAGTGTTTTTATCTTTTAAATAAAATCCGCTCAAAGGTTATTGCACATCTTGACTGAGAGATTTCCTAGAACAGTGGGATTTAATAACAGGTATTTAATCCCATAAATAGCTCCAAAATTTAGAGCTAACTCCAAAACTTCCCCGCTAATCACAAACCATTTAAAACAATAAAAATTACCTATAACTTCTATACAAAACTTCGCGTGCGTTCTTTGAAATGTTTCTTGATTTCAAAACTACAAATTGCGTCCACAAAATTATATCTTTTTTTATTATTTTAATAGATTGTACTAATAAACCCGCACTTTTTCAGGTTATCGTGTCTTAAGTGATTTCCATAGTCCACGACTCCATGTTTCTTATGGCTTCTGCGTACAGGTAATTAAAACACGTTCTTTTTGATCTTTAACCGTAGGTTGATGTACCCTTTAACCTTTTGTACGTGATGTTGGTTTTCTTAAGTTCAATACACCATTAGATTCACGATTTGTGTAATAAATCCCTTTATTCACCATTTAATAATCTTCTATTTGGCAAATTGAGGTAACGCGATTAGTAGTTCCTTATTTGTATGATTTTTTACTGCTTTTTTATAGAGAGTGGATTTTTTTATGAATTGGGAAAATAATAAAAAAAAAAGGGTGCCCGATTTATAGATTCTATTACGAATAGATCACGTTTGTGCTGTATGAATCTTTGTATCTTTTTTTTTTTTTTTAGAAAAAAGGCGGATATATTAGTGTTAATTAGAATGCTTAAAATTGTTCTTACGAACCAGATATAGCTTTTAATTACTGTTTTTTGACGATATATTTTCTTTTTTGACTTATCAAATAATACAAATTGAAACCGGATTTCATAAAACTAGAACTTCCAAATAATTACTGCTGATTAACATTTAATTTACGAAATCAGCCAAATAAAACCTACTTTCTCTATAAACATATTTTTTAACACGTGCACATCTTTTATGAATAAACTTTTTTCAACAGACTTAGATTCAGTTTGAGCTAAATATAAAAAGTAGTAGTATTATGAAAAATTTACCTCGATAGTTTAGTCAAGAAACCTGTTGAAAGTGTAGTCTATATATTGTTTATCTTATTTCCAACGTATATCGGTATGTTTCTGGAACTTTTTAAGCGGATTGAAAACTTTTTACAAACAAGTTTAATCAAGAAACCTGTTGAAAGTTTAGTCTATTTATTCTTTATCTAATTTCCAACGTATATCGGTATGTTTCTGGAACTTTTTAAGCGGATTGAAAACTTTTTACAAACAAGTTTAGTCAAGAAACCTGTTGAAAGTTTAGTCTATTTATTGTTTATTGTTATTGTCGTATATCGGTATATTTCTGGAACTTTTTAAACGGACTGAAAACTTCCTACAAGCATTATGAATTTCATTTATCCAATGATAATAATAAAGAAAAATATTCATTAACTATTGTGTGTGATTTCATTTAATAAAGTTTTGAATTTGAACAATTGGATCATCTTTTTATATATATAAAGGTTTTTGTATTTGAAAATCTCAAAAAAGTTTAATTTTTAAAAGAAGTGGTTAAAAACATTAACCCTTTAATGGGCCCTTTATTTCTAGTAAAGGTAAATTAAAGTATTTTTGGAATTGAAATTGTTTTAAGAACAGTAACTGATATAAAAAAATAACTAATTTAGTTTATAAAAATGCCATTTTTTTGGTGGTAAATATATTTAACATGACCTATTAGGAACTTACTGACTTTTATTTTTCTTTATTTATAAAATAAATTCCTTAAATGCTACAAACTTCAAAAGGAATTATGTATTTTGTAACTTTTATACGTTTTTTAAAAGTGACAAATGGCTACGAATTTTATTCAAACTCACTTCAAGAAAGCGGAAGTTATTGAAAAATGGAAACCTAAATTAAAAGTGGTAAAACGTGGTGGTAAGTATGCTTACCACGACCTTGAAAAGGGTTAAAAAGCCGAAAAGAAAATAATGAAAAGATATAATCTCTTTATCAGCTCATACGATTACATATTTATTTTTTAAAAATGTTAATTTTCCAAAATCATTAAAATTGTATTATTAAATATCAGCCTTATCAATTATAAACTTTAAACTATCCAGTATATCATTACTACCTTGCGCACATCCATTTTCGGGCCAATCCATAGTAATTAGCAAAGTAAACGCGCTTCAGTACTGCAGTGAAAATGCGCCATAAAATATCCCTCTATTAACGCTTCTAAACCTCTTTGCGCTTCTGTTTTCATATTTTGTAATCTAGAAATTTTTTTACGAAAATACTTTAAATCATTCTTGAAAGATTCCGGTGCGTAAAAGTTCGTTTGAATTCGCTACTTACTTTATAGATTTCGTTTTGTGTTTTGTTTGTACTTTCTTCACATTTAATCTTTTTTGCTGGATATATTTTTTACTTAATGTGCTCGATTTTCTTTTCAATTTTTTGAGTGCTCCTGTCAATATTTTGTTGATATATTTCGATTAGTCTACATTGATACAATATTAGAAAGCACTCCTTTTTGCGGATATAATCGTGTGAGCTGATGCAGAGATTTTATATTTTCATTTTTTTTTTTTTAACATTTCTTAAATGTATTTTTAAAAAATATTTTATTTTAATGATTTTTCTTCTTCTCTTTTCATTAAATCTTTATTATTTTTTATGTTTTCTCTATATTTTTAACTTATTTTATGAGTTCTATATACTTGCAGCTTATGCGCAGTAAATAAAGCATTCTAATTTTCTTCATTTTTCACTTTTTATCCTTCTTGTCTTTATAATATATATATATATATATACCTCCACCACCACCCTCCATCTATAACAATGGGCTCGCCTAGGGTTTCATGGTTTCTCACCCAGGAACAATGTTTTCATGGGGCACATTAGGACCCATAATCCTCATAGAACAATCCCTGACGTCTGTAAGCTACTTGAACATAGTTGCAGACCAGATTCACCCATTCATGGCAACAGTTTTTCCAGTGGGGGATGGTGTTTACCAACAGGATAATGCATTATGTCATAAGGGTCGAATCGGCGTAGATTGGTTCGATGAACATTCCAGTGACTTTCAAGTCATGTCTTGGCTCCCAAATTCACCTGACCTTAATCCAATCGAGCATTTGTGGTCCTTCTTCAAAAATCAAATTCGTGCTGCCACGCTACTCAGGGATTGCAGGACCAGTTGGTGAGCGCTTGGTATCAGATACCTCAGACTACCTATCAGCACCTTGTGGAATCAACGCGGCGGGTGCTAGCAGATTTGAGGGCTAAAGGTTGTCCTACATGTTATTAGTAGGGTGGTCATAATGTAATGGCTCTTCGGTATATATATATATGTGTGTGTGTGTGTGTGTGTATATATATATATATACATATATATCAATANATCATTTAAGATAATTGTCGTCGAAAATGACAATTGCTGGATGTAATTTGGATATTGAGTCCTTTTCCTTATTGTGCATACCTACTGCTTCAGCGGCACTAAATAAAAATATAATTTTTGATTTACCAACTGTTTTATCTATTTAATAATAACTATCTTCATAACTGAACTTACATGAACTGTAACATCATTTCAATTAATACTTTTCTAAAACTTACACCTGCTTTCCTACCTTGCTCGGTAGCTAAAACTAGAATTAAAAGAAACTTAGATATCGATTTTCAAAGCTGTTTAAATTACCTCTGCAGAAATAACATCAAAAACCAAATTTCCAGTTTTTTGCAGGCTAATTTATCTCATTTATATGCATTTTGCTACACCCAACCCTACTAAAGGAGCAATAGCATCACAAAGGATGTTCTAAACATGGATCCGAACTGGAACAATTAATCTTCAAAGGAACAATACGTCAGTCATACTGATCTTTTTTTTTACCGCATCTTCTATTTTTCCTAGAAACTTCTCTTAGAATTTTATAGTTTCCTTTATGGATAACGTTTATTTATAAAATTTAAATGGAACACCTATAATTTGAAGATAGGGTCAGTTACCTCGGTAGAAATATATACTATAGTTTTTAAAATTATAAAATTTGAAAAGCTTTTTTCAATATTTACTATTTTTGTAAACGTTAATCATTGTTAATTCTGTGATGAAAGTAAGTTAAATAGCTATTGACACACATTCAACAGAATACTAGGGATTACATTTTCAATTGTTGAAACAGAAAATTATTTAAACGGTTATGAATAAAATATTTATGTGATGTTTTATATAGTTTTTACGACATACTTACGAGAAAGTAATAGTTTTAAATCTGAATAATTAAATTTGATTTAGGGCTGCGCTGTCATTTAACTCGCATTTTATAAGTTATAGACAACTTTATAATTTAATTTCAATAAAAAGCTTCGTTCATAACTTACACTTCATTCAACGTTGTTTTTCTTATTCCTCAGAAGTCAATATTTTTTATTTATAAATATTGCCGCAAAGAATAATTCGTTACAAATTATTATACAGTTATTTTAGTTATGTGTAAGAACATTTTGTAAATATGTGAATCTTAAAATCTGCGATTACCTGAATTTAAAGAATAATTATCCCTACTAGAAAAAAATTAACCTAAGAAATATGAATTTTGTAACTTGGCAAAAAAATAATAAATAAGAAGTAATTTTATTCGATAACAAGATTGATAACAGTTCAAATAAGAAACGATTTTCTGAAAGAAAAAATAAATATATGTGCAAAGAATTATATCTGGCAGCATCTAGCTAATAAAATAAAGAATTCGTGAAAGAAAAAAGTTTTATACATCATTGAATAAATATATATTTTTTTTTACATTTTAGTACAAGTATAATTTCGATTATTCAACAGATTTTTGTTAGTAACTATTAGACTGTTTTTCATAATTTGAAAATATTAAGATATGTTTTTGCTTATACTTAAAGCGTCAAAAATTGTATATAAAAAAGACACCGGTGTCCAATCTTCGTTAAAAGAGGTTAATAATTCATTGTAAATAATGCCTAACTCTTTTTTTTTAACTTAATACTTCGTATTTAAACTTAAAATAAATGTGTTGATGTAAGTTAATAATATTATTTTTTCATCAGATTATTGACAAGAACATCCATTTTTTTAATGACATGAATTCCAAAAAGATATTTGGGCATGTATAATGTCGATTAACATGCCCAGCTAACATGCCATAAATTTTAAATTTTCTCGAGTCTTCTTATAAATGTAATGTTTCTTAAAAATAATTTTTTTTGAACCCGCTACCAGATAAGAGAGCACTAAAAGTAATTGTAAAAATATTTCTAACCTTGTGAGTTCTCTGGTATGAGGGGTGACTTGAATAAACTTAAAGGAAGAAAAAGTCTTTTGAAAAGGTGAGATTCCT